ACTGACTCGCTTGCTTGCTCACTCACTTACCATTCACTTATTACTTGCTCACTTAACTTATGACTACTTGTTCACTCACCCACACGCCCACAGACGCACCGACAGACAGACGGGCAGACAGACAGGAAACACTGCATCAGAGGCTTATCGTGCAACTCATCCCAATCAAGCCTTTGTTCTGTCAATGTCAAAGGTAGATTTCGTTGAGCCGCTTCTTTAGCGCGTGCGAGTCGAGCAGCCAAACTGCGACTTCTTACAACCTTGACGGAAGAGTATTTCTATGCATGTAGATGGATAGACAGATAGATAGAGAGATGGGTAGACAGATACATCGATAGAGACAGATAGATACACAGATACACAGGTTTACAACCAATACGTGTGGGAATTTACATATTTATAGAAAAATATATATGCAGATGCACACACGGAGGAGGTGGTGTGTCAGCGTCGTGGTCATACTCCTAATAGTATTTCCAGTATTGGTGCTCGCACGAGTACCAATACTAGCACTATTCCGAGTAGCAGCAGAAGTCGTCGTCGTTGGGGTGGTGGCGGTGGTGATGGTGGCGGTGGTGGGGGGTGGCCGGCTGGTGAGGGTGATGCGGACGGGGGGCTTGGTGCTGGTGCTGATGCCGGCGCTGGTGGTGTGGTGGTGCGGCAGTTGATCGATGTTCATCGCATCATTTGGATGATGAGAGGACTTGGCTCGTGGGTTACAAGTGAAATATTTGTAGTATCAGTGAGGAAGCTACCGTTACATGTATATCTAACCCCAACGAACACACATGTAACCGCAGTAAATAATTTGGGGTAGGGAGGGGCAGGGGTTGGGGTGGGGTAAGGGTAGTGGTAGGCGGAGGTGTAGGCGTAGGCATCCGAGGCTGCAGCCAGGGTCAGAAGCAACAACCCCAGAACGTTGCAAAGCACCAAGAAGCCTGGAGCTCGCCATCCACCAAAGCGCTGAGGCCTTTGAGTCAACCGGGTCCGTCCACAACCCCAAACTGGAAACCCAAAACCCCAAACTGGAAACCCAATTGCTTGCACCCGAGCCACGAAGTACTTTGAGGTGCCAGTCGAGAGCTTCAAGGGCTTGCAGACGGCGGGGCTGCAAAGATTTGAGCGTAAAAGGTGAAGGTGTCGTGCTGGGTTCCGTGTCCGGGGTGTCATCGCGTTGCCGGAGGTCGGGATAGTCGGTTCCATAATTTGGGGCCGGAGGCTCAGACCGCTTGCCATGGATCCTTTCTTATCTGTGAGGTATTGGGCCCCCAAAATTTTACTTGCTGAGATTCCTCGCTCACGTGACGCGGCCTCGCAAGATGTATGCACTCCTTTGCAAACCAATGAGCAAAACAGCAGCGGCTGTCCACGAGCATCGTGGCTATCACATGTACACATCACTTGACGGGCGTCCTCGTTGCTCCAAGCACCGAGAGTGGCCTCTCCTTAGACTAGACGTCACCGAAGGGCCCAACGGCAACACTGAAGCCTGCCCGTCTCCTGAAGTCCTATCTGCTCCAACCCACACTCTCGACTCACAACCCTGCACATCGTTTGACTACATGTACCGTCTAATACAATGAAAAAGCCGTGTGCGAGACTTTAATTCTCGAAGTCAATCTTGCTCGGCACCCTACAACGGATGAGTATTAGCATTGCCAATGAACGGCAAACCTTTGTCTCGAGCATGTTTCGCAACATTTGCTTAAGGACCTAGCACAGGCTCTTGATCGTAATGCCGTAATGCCTCAACCTTGACGCCCAAAGCCTGAACATCTTGACACAGGAGAACGTGCAAGACGAGTGAGCCAGCTTCGGGGAGGTTCCAAGGATTGTGTTCGGCAGGCGGGTTGGGAATGGGCTCTCTGAAGATCGAACCTCATGAAACAGAGGTCGAGTGCACTGGTGCTGATGTTGTAGGGTTTGGACATGACTGAACCGTAAGAGCAGATGGAGAGCGGGGCTGAGCTTTCTGCAACTACGCAACTCCCCACAAGCGTCACTCGCCGCGTCGCAAGTTTGTGGCCGTGAATCCATCAACCCCCCAGCCTCCCCACGCAGATGAGAATGAGGCTGATGTGCTTCTTGCATGTTGGCATTCCAAGTTTAAAAGTTGGTAGTATCACTGCTCTTATGCTGTTCTGGTCTAAGGTACCGCGTGCTCTTTGATTTGTTTGAAAAGCTTGCTTGCTGGGCTTGATATTCTTTCGTAGTCTTGTATCGACCGTTGTCAATCTATGCACTTTACACAAGCTTGAGCATGTGTTTGAATGACTTTCATTCGGATCCGGGACTCGTGAGCAAGGGTGTGGAGGAGAGTGCCGACAGGGAGCATGATCACCATCTTCGTCGTCGTCATCATCATTGGCTTTGGAAAATGAATTGTTTGTTCGAACGAATGAATGAGTGGACGGGTGGATGAGTGGACTGGAATGGGTTGGATGGATTGATTGAATGAACGAGTGAACGAATGAATGAATGAGTGAGTGAATGAATGAATGAATGAGTGGATGGGATGGAATGAATGGGTTGGATGAATGAAGGCATGGATGGAGGGATGGATAGAGTGGAATGGATAGAATGGAATGAACTGACGAATGAATGAATGAGTGAATGAAGAAATGACTGAATCAGTCAATCAGTCAACATGAATCAACGTATCAGTGAATCAGTGAATGAAGGAAGGAAGGAAGGAAAGAATGAAGCAACTGAATGAATAACATGAATGACATGAACGAAGGAAATGAATGAATGGATGGATGAATGAGTGAATGCATGAATGAATGGATAGATGGATGGCATGAACGGAGTGAATGAATGATTGGATTAGTTATTGAAATGAAGGAACGAATGCATGAATTTCCAATGAATGGATGGGTTTTACATTATATTGCATTGTACATGATATATTGCAATGGCTAAATGTATATTGGTTTGGAACGTACTTTGTTATATGATCAGAGTTCGCGATGACATACTATGCGATATCGTTCCATATTGCACAAATTATAACTTTCATATTTGTATTGCATTATATACACTGTAATGTAAGAAGCATTACGCTATTGTGTTTTGCTGCATTAAATCATATCAGATCATAGTATCTGCATTCTGTTGTGTTGTGCTGAGTTGTATTGCACTGCGTCATATCGTGTTCTATTGTAATGCGTAATAACATATCATCTTGCCTTGCGTTTTATCAAAGCATATTGCACTGTACTGTATCATAGTGGACTCTTGGATAAGTTGCATTTATCGTATCATATCTGTTATCAGATTAGCTGATCTGTCTTATATCGCGTTGTATTGTACTATATCCTATGTACTACAGTGTGAGAAAATGCAGCAAACGCTGCATTGCTACGTCGTTCGGTTCACAGATCTTTGCGAGTCCTAAGGTCATGTTACAGGCTCCATCACCCGCGTTTGCCCCGCTTTCTGTGTCGCTCAGGTCTGCATCGTGCCACGTCCAAGCATGGACTTTATCATGTCGTGGGCATGGATGCACTGGCCAGTGAGTGGGCTGGTAGTATCATGGTTTGGGCATTGATGCACTGGCCAACGCATGGACGCCATCATGGTTTAGGCACGGACGCACTGGCCGATGGATGGGCTGGTCGCATGGACGTGATGATGGTTTTGGCATGGATGCACTGGCCAATCGCAGTGCATCCATGCCCAAACCATGGTAATGTCCATGCTACCAGCCCATCCACGTCCATTGGGCATGGCACCCATGCCCAAACCATGGCAACGTCCATGCTACCATCCACGTCCATTGGCCAGTGCATCCATGCCCAAGCCTACCAGCCCACTCATCGGCCAGTGCATCCATGCCCAAACCATGACATGATAACGTCCATGCTACCAGCCCACTCATTGGCCAGTGCATGCATGCCCAAACCATGATAACGTCCATGCTGACAGCCCACTCATTGGCCAGTGCATCCAGACGGGGTTCAGCCAAAAGAGCTGTTTCGCGTGTTGCATAACCTGATCTCAAGCCTCCCTCCCGTCCTGCCGTTGCACTGACCTCTCTAAATCAACAAGTCCGGCCGCGCAGAAGCATCGAGAATTTAGCATGTGTTTGAAACGCCTAATTCCAAAACGGGGATGCCATGTTGAACAAGGCTAGCATATGCATGTAATACCAGCAACATGGGCCGTGCAGAAACATAGAGTTGTTTGCGTTTTTGATCCAAACGAAAGTTGAACAATCCGAACATACGAAAGTATGGGCCTTGCCATGCTTTTCCACTGTGTCACAAAACAAACTGGTGCAAGCGACGGCGATGGACCGATGTTATAGCATAGTACTACGGGCATATTGTGCTATATCCTACAGTATTTAATTTAAACGCACATAACTGTCTAACCGTATCGTCGTGCATTATGCTACATAATGTTGCATCATGTTTTATCTACGTTATCTCATGTAATGTTGAGCTTATCATGTCATATGCTTCTTAGTTGTTATATGGACTATACGACATGCGCCATATTCTTTCGACAGTGCTAAATACTCAGTACCGTGTTTTATTCTTGTATGTCATACTGCATCAAAAAGTTCAAGGTTATACAGTACAGCAAAGCCGAATTGGACTTGGATTCACCTCAGCTTATCTTGAACAATGCGCGATGCTTGATACATCGGTGTAGATTAGGTTGGAATTCATTATGTCCTGCCGCATTGCATTTGTTCGTTATGTTATAACATATGATAGGATTGCATGCATACTGCATCATCGGTATAGGTTATATCACATGAGGTTACGGCGCATGTTGCATTTTATACTACGGTATAGCATATCACAGCATGCTGAGCTGTGTCACCACAGCCCCGTGTCACCATATTGTGTGTTACCAAGCCACAGACTGGGCCTTCACCTATATGTATATTTGCACTTGTACCATGCACGTATTTTCAGCTTACTCGCTTGCTCATGCAGTGTATTGAATCTCCGCGCTTGAATATCGCAGTAACACTGATGATGGCTACGATGATGACGGTGATCATGATCATGATGGTGGTGGTGTCGGTGGTTGTGGTGCTGGTGATTCTAGCCATATGGTGACGACTTTTAAGCGTGTCATCGCATTGCAACGTATTCCCCTGAGGTGACCAGAAACGACAGGCGCACTGGAGCCAACATCGGCTGCGGAAAAAATGCCGAGGTGCTTGACGTAAGCATCAGTCTGGTGGAAATGCACGGCCGAACATAGAGTGTACTTCAAGGTTGGGCTGCTGGTCGAGTTGTGTGGAAAAGAGACTCAGACCTTCTTGAATGCTTGATTCATATACAACCTAACGACCTAGTTATCGAAGTCAAGTGCATTGCTGCACGGAAGCGACGGAGGTCCACATCCTTAGCACCCAGCTGGTGCAGTTCGAGTAGTTACGCCCTTGGATGACAGTGAGACAACATTGACCAAATGTCAGTCCGCCCCATCTTCGCTGTTGTATTCTCAAGCACAATGTAGGTGTGGAGTGCCGTCGAAGATCGGCCACAGCAGGCCACAAACGTGGCCAGCCGAGCCAGGATGCAAAGGTCCGGACAAGCCAGGCGTGATGATTTTCCTTCCAGCGCAAGCGCCGCAAGCGCAGAGGCATTCGCATCGACAATGCCCACTGCCAGCCTTGCCAGCATCGAGCGAGTGAAATGTCTGGACGAGCATGAATTCCGCAAACTCCTCGGGTCTCGCAGACTCAGCGAGGAGAGCGAGGAGAGTGATGGCATTCCCGTAGGCCGCCTCTGGGGCATGGTGCCGGAGGAAGTCCGACCGAAGGAGGCCCGGCCGTGGACGACTGTGAGGACCCCCAAGCGGGCACTGCTTCGGGGCTCCTCGGCAGAGCTGGATCTTGAATCAGTCCGTCACTAGGCTGGGAAGGCGAGCTGTAGAGTGCAGAGTGGGGTTCCCTCACCCAGGCTTACTCCCGCAGTCCGACACGGACGACCTGCAACCCCGGTGCAAGAGTGGTGTGTGGGAGAAGGCCTGGAATAGGGAGCTACTTGAGTTCCGGTCGGGTTATGCAAAGCACTGCCATGTCCAGCCCTCCGCAGTCCGCAGGTACACGCGATGAAGGCTTGGGCTTCTTTGCGGCTCCGCAGAAAGAAGGCTAGCAAAGTCGACTCAATCCTCTGAGAGAGAGGAGGTCGTAGTGAGACACCTTCAATGGTCACTGAGTTGGAGATGCATTTTGGCAGAGTGTCGGTTTTCGGGATTTCCAACTGTTCGGCTTCTACGCTATGTAGCGTAAGGAACTCATTGCCTCAATGCACGTCCAAGCGTCCTTGGTCAGCGAGTAAGCCGCTGATTTTCCCAAGGCTTGCGTTCGCATGGTCAAAAATGACCAAATCCTGCCTGAATGTCTGTTAATTGATTGGACCCACCACGTTTGACCGTGCAGGTTCAATTTCAAGAACTGATCTTTGTCTTACCAGCCACCGAATTTCTAGGGACTGGTGACAGCAGCGTGTTCACCAGACTTGGTGTTAGAGTGACCTTTCACTTATTTTCACTCCGCTTGGACACTGAATGATTTCGGCTTGACTGCCCTTCAGGTTTGATTTGTCAATGTGTTGTCGTCTTTGGCTTCTTTTGCCATCTTCCACAGAGGCCTCGCAGAATGCAGAGGAGGAAAATATGCTGCGGTGGGCATGGAGACCTCAATCTCTGCCTTAGCATGAACGAAGAACCGAGCTTCAGCCACCCAACACATCCATCATCGTTCTCGTCATCGTCAGCATTGTCAATGCAAACACCCTCGCCGTCATCATAGTCATCAGCAGCAGCACAAGAAGAAGCACCAATCGCCACGTATCACCCTTCCGTCATAAACGCCCTGTCATCCATCCCATCCGTCGCGCACCTGTCTCCATCAATGAAGCAGCCGGAATCCTAGCCATACCCATAAAAGCAAGAGTCATGATACTGATACTGACCAAAAGCAGTAAAGGCTACAGGTAATGAGGACCTTGAGATGTTCAACGAAAGCCGAAGCCCGAAGCTCCAAGCTCGCTTGTCCGCCTTGGCTGAATCGGCTCAAAAAATGTTCGGCCTGCGATAGGGAACGCTCTCTTCGCAGGAGCTGGCCGGAGGACAAGGCAGCCTTCGCTTCATTGCATAAGTACTTCAGAGCGCTTTTAGGATGTCGAAGGTTCTTGTTGATTAGGCCAAGGGCCGCAGCGGGGTAGAATTTACAGCGTTAATGCTGTTGCTGCCGTCGCTGTTGCTGTGGGTGCAGGTGGTGGTGGGGTTCTTGCTGCTCTGGTCGTCAACGGTCAACAGCGACGAATCATGTTGACCATCTTGCAGCTGTTGATGATAATCGTGGTGGTGATGCGGAGGACGATTATGATTAGACCAATGATGATGGTGAGTATGATGGATGGATGGAGATGGAGAAGGAGATGATGATGATGACGATGAGCACGACGAAGATGATGAGGGTGATTATCATGGATAGATGACGGTGATGATGATGCAGTTGTTGAGGACGATGATTAGGATGAGGATGACTATGTTGGTGTAGATGATGTAGGCGGCATAAACTTTGGTGGTGGTGGTGGTGATGATTATGATGATGGTGGTAGTGGTTATGGTGTTGGTGATGGCGAGGAGACGATGCCGAAGTTGGGGCTGATGCTTTTTTGAATTGTTCGACGTTGTTGCCCCTTTCGACATCAACACTCTCCGTCTAAGTTTTAGGGCTCAGAGCGAAAGCCTGCAAATGTCGCATCCTCAGCATCATATACAGCAATGATCTCGGCTCACTGGCATACCTCCACTGATCATCCTCACGAAGACCTTGCATATTCGGTGTCTCATCACCACCATCGTTGCCATGCACGTGATGACCATCATCATCTCTGTAGAATCAGATCACAGTCACAGGCTCTATTCTGATTGGCATCACGTTCTACTTATCACCATTGTCAGCAGCTTCAGTATCTTGACCATAGTCGTCCTGACATTGATGTGTCGCTGTCCCGCTGGTCCTCACCCACGATTCTCTATGACATTCGCATGCACCTTCGCATGGCTTCATCTGGTCAGTCAAACTGATGTCGGGAATTAGCTTCGGCATCAAGGACCATCGGTGCCACACCATTATAACTGTCATAGTCGTCGTCTGCTCGGTATCCTCAAACCATCATCACCACCAGCAAATCCACCAGCAGCACAATAACATCAACAGCAACCGCAGCAGCAGACCATCACGGCCAACATCCCTGTTTGTCATCTGCCCCTCCCCAATGGCCTCTCGTTATCATCGTCACCACCACCAGCATCGTCATCAGTCGAATCTTGACCCTTGCATGATGTTGTCGTGGGCATGCTGTCAGCATACATGAGCTCGTGAACTACAAACCATAATCGCAAGAGGCTATGGCAGCAACGCCGACATTCCTCCACGAGTTGCCACATCATTCAGGCTTGTTGTGCAAGTAACACTTCGGCAAGAGCAACGACTTCATCGATCACGACGGCACCGATTCGCCGATACTCGTGCACATCATGACAACTACCTCGGCCGTTCCCGGTTCCTCGGAAGTTCCAGGCCTATCATCCGTGCAGACATGGGCAAGGGAGAGAAGAAGGCCAAGGGCAGCTCCTCCAAGGACCCCAGAACCGATTGGGGTTGTAGAGGGGTGTGTAATTCGCCCAACCCTTACGAGACCCATGTGAAGCAAACGGAAGCTAGAAGAAGCTGCATAGTCTACTAAGTGTTTGCTGTTCTCGCTGCGATTGTTTGCCCTCCGGCACCAGAAATGTCAGGAAACCGAAAGGAACATCAGCAGTAGCATCTCTTTTGGTCTCAAAACCAAGAGCCCCCGAGCAATCGAGCAAGCCGCCGTAGGAAGTGCTTGAACCCTACTCAGCTCTTCCTTGTAAACCTCAAGCGGCTCTAAACAACAGCTAGGGTCCGGTACATGCTGTTGAAAATAGCGCTTGTCCGAACCCATGTTTTTTGCTGGAGCTGGGGACAACAGCCATTGCCGCGTCTCGCATAAGTCTGTGAGTCTATGACCAAAGCATTCCAAGTTTGTCGCTACGGTGTTCCAAAATCTGCTGTCAGTTCAGAGCGTGACACAATGGAGTGTTTTGGGCATGTCGTGTTCGTCAGCTAGGCAGTTTCGGCAAGAGTAGGGTTAAGAAGTTGGTCCCGAGATCAGCAGAAGGCAGCGGCGCACAGACTCCAATGGTTCTGCAACTCCCAGATCTTTTGTCGGATGCTGGACCGGACAAGGGAAGCCACGCGAAGAAGCACACAAGCAGGAGCCAGCCACTCGCGACTACACCATCCACCTGCACAAGCATATGCAGAAGGCCAGATCCATGCCTGACGAGCACCGCCACATCAAATCAGAACACTTGACACATGACATGTGCAGTCTTGAGGGTACATGAGGTGCAGCCCCGCGTAATGAATATCGGTTTTCACATCTGGCTGATACAAATAGTACTAGACCACGTCTAGTTTCGCGGATGTCTGCGCGTATCACGTTTGGTGCGTGATTTTGCATAGTATGTATCTGCATACAAAGATGTACAGAATGTCTTAACATACAGTTTGCAGTATGCAGATATTTTTATATGTAAGTGTGTCTATACCTATACTTATGTATGTATGCATGTGTCCATCTCAATGTCTGTATATATCTCTATCTGAATCAGTAGCTGTATCTGTACATAAAGAGAGATATAGGTCACATGCATACGCTTGTGCACGCGTCGGTATGATTGCGTAGTTTTGTGCCGCCCATCTTCACTCTTCGATACCCCGTTGCCCCTGTGGCGCACATCGCAGTGATATCATCCAGGAAAGGCGACTGCGATGTTCTTAAAACTTACGCACCACCCTGTCTCTTGGCTGTTGGCACTTGTAGACAGCACAGTCGCACTGAGTCCCAAAGTGTTCATTCGTATATGCCTATCTATGCCATCTGTATAGTACACATTATCTCTCCCTCTCTTTCTTCATAAGTGCATGCGTGCGTGCGTTCCTGCGCGCGTACGTGGGTGTGTGTGTGTGTCTGTATATATGTAGTTATGTATGTATGTGTCTGTGTCTCTGTGTGTGTATGTGCGTGTATTTGCTTGGTAGCATGTGACTAAAGTTTCTGCTCTCAGACCCTGAGTTAGCTGCTGGTGGTGGCCAGTGCTGGTAGGGATCACTTCGCGGTCCCCTTAGGGGGCCCATGGGGCGAGGAGAGAGAAAGGATGTGGGGCCTCCTCCCATTCCACTCCTGAACCAGGGGAGCCGTCTTTCTTTAACGGAGTTTGAGGACGCGTATGGCTCCCTGGAGGATTTGATCATCTTTCAAGTGATGGGTGATTCCAATGAGCCCCACGGCTATGCCATTGGAAAGATCAACAAGTTTTACCCTTGTGAGGACACGGGAGCTCATGTGGAGCTCAGCTACTTAGGCTGCGAAGATGGGTTTTACAGGTGGTACATTGAGCATGAGGGAGAGGCTGGTGGCCTCCCGAAAGACTACTCCCATCATCTGTGCCGCCGGGCCCTGAGTACTTGTATTCGCAAAGAGGGGAGGAAAATGATCCACGTGCAGAAGTGGGCACCCGTCACCCGCGAAGATGCTCACACGCTTCTGGTTGCTTGGGGTTACACTGGTTTTGCTGACAAGGGACGGAGGGCACCTCTGTCTAGACGCAGTGGCCATGTGTCAGCCCCCGGGAGCGCTGCAAAGAGCCGGCCCCTTAAGAGGACCGCGCCGCGGGACCCAAGCGAGGAGCCGGAGGCGATCGACTGTGAGAAAGAGGGGGATGACGAGCCTCGTGAGGAGCCCCGTGCTCCCCGGAGGAGGACAAAGGGCTCGGCTGCCAGGGCGCGGGAGGCGTCGAATGCACTCGACAGCGTGCTGGAGGACGCTACCAAGGTTGGTCCTGATGCACATGAAAAGGCCGGGCCTCTTGAGAGCCGCCTGGCAGGACTTCGCGCCCGACTTCAGGAGAAGACGGGAGCCAAGAAAGGGGGCGCAGCACAGGCGCTTGCCGATAAGGCGCAAGCCGCCGCTGCTACTTCCAAGCCTCGCAAGAGACGCAGATCAAGTGATGTGGTGCATGCTTTGCAAAAGGCCTTGCTCCCACGCCATCGCGATCGCGAATACGATCTTCCTGAGGATGACTCCTACAGCGAGGGCAATGAGGACGATGATGGTCTCCCGGCAAGGAGTGGTTCCACAAGCCTGGTGGCAAAGAAGCGGCAGCTGCGAAAGTTTGCACAGGAGAACCCCGGGCAGCTGCTGCGCAGAGGCCTCGAGAACATGAGGGATCAGGTGGGCCAGCTTTACGGCGACCAGGACGTCGAGGAGGATAAGTACTCCCCTGTGGTGAACCGCTACCTCCTCTCAGTGTTGCTCCCGAACTTCCCGGCGCGCCAGCAGCCCGAGGAGCGCCACCGGGAGATGCGCACTTTGGCTTTGGGCATCGACCTGTTGCTGAAGGGGAAGATCGACAGTGCAGGAGACCTCTTTATGCAGCGTTTCAAGTCGTTAACGATGGCCTTGCGTGACAACGACAACCGCTTCGGTCACTACTTGGAGCTCTTGCCAGAGGACCTTGTGGGAGGCGGAGCCAGCCAAGATGAGACGGAATACGCCCGAACAATGGCCCTCAAGGCCGCAAGAAGTGAGGCACTTTTGAAGAAGGGGCTTGCCGTCCCCTAGGGACTCCGGGGAGGTGCGGAGCAGGGCAAAGCTCCGACCTCGCCCGAACCTTCTCAAGTTGCCCCACCGAGAACGCCGCCAAGGGAGCCTTCGAGATCACCGGCGAGGAGCCCGAGGAGGACGCCGGCCATCAGAGCACCTCTCGAGAGGAGGACAGGCCAACGGCAGGATCGTCATGTGAGCTTCGCGCAGGGCGGCAAGGACGATCAAAAGGATCAGGAGCCGGAGGGTGTGATGGCCAAGGCTCGGTTGGCGGTGCCTCGCAAGGAGGGCGAGAGCCGCAGCAAGTGGAAGGACCGAGTGTTTGCGCACCTACGAAAGGGCCAGTGAGGATGCTGGTGGATGGAAATCATGATGCGAGCGGCCCCGGTGATGCACCAGGGGAGTTCTGCGGCCAGGGTGGGAGGGAACTCTCCCATAGCCTTGGTGAGCTTTTTGACCTGCTCCTTGTGGCCCCTCATGTGTCATGTAATGCACTCGCAAAGCAGATTATGGATTTCGTGGAAACTCAGCACACGTTGCAACTTGGTATTTCGCTGCTGCAACTTCTGTTGGCCTCTCTGAGAGACCGGGGCCACTTGAGTGGTCTCACGTGCCTTTTTGAAGACATCACGCCTCTTGTCCAGGGGACGCTAAAGCAGGGGCGGGAAACAAGGCAGCGTGACCTTCTGCCTTTGCCACTTCCCCCTTTTGGCGCTCTCCTTAACTTAGCGAAGAAGCTCAAGCGGCCCGGCTCAGGAGTTTTGGTTTGGAGTGATGCTGAGGCTCGGAAGTTGGGGAAGCAGCAGCGTAGGAAGTTGGTGAGTGCAGCATGCGAGCAGACGTGGAGATTGCTGAGTGTTATTGTGCTCAATGGTGAGAGCTCCTCGTGGGTGAAGCTGGTGCCTGCCAGTGATCATGTTGAGACCCAGAGCCAGAGGGTTGCCCTGGCGGGACTGTCCAGGCGTTGTGCCTGGTGGTCCAATCGGGCGCTGCAGCCGCGGCCCGAAACATCATTTGAGGACGTTATTCGGTCACGGCAGGTTGATTACACTGGGGATGCTGTGTTGAAAGCCTTGCCGCTGCGGCTGGAGGAGTTGGCTCCCGGCCTACCGGAGGATGGAGTTGCAGGGAGCTTGGATGCATTGGCGATTGCGGATGGCGATGTCGCACGTTGGTTGAGGGATCCCTCGCAAGCCTTGTTGAGTCCCGAATCATGGCCCCGCCCAGTCCCGACGGCGTCCATGAACGTAACTCCGCATGAATGGGAGCGCATTGTTTCAGTCCTCTTCCGAAAAGGCATTCTGGAGCCAATTGATCTTTCAGAAGTTTTTCGCGTCGACGATCAACCCATTCTCAACGGAATATTCGCCGTCGAAAAAGGCGGGGATCCCGCCCCGGGTGAAGCCCGGGTTACTCGCCTAATAATGAATTTAGTGCCAACAAATTCGCTACAACGGCTGATGCCTGGCGACCTCGCTACATTATCTGGCTCTAGCAACTGGAGTTCTATTTTGTTGGGACGGGGCGAAGTACTCCTTTGGAGCGGTGACGATCAAAAGGGAGCTTTCTACGCGTGGCGACTTCCAAAGGTCTGGCGCAAACTTATGGCGTTCAAGTGGCCGGTACCTGGGCATCTAGTTGGACGTCCGAGTGATGACTCGGTTTATGTCGCTTCAGCTGTGATCCCCATGGGTTGGATAAACGCTGTGAGTTTATTTCAACACTTGCATCGTCGTGCGGGGTTGGCTCGTGAGCCTAGTGGGGCTGGGCTGGACCCAAGCCGCGAATGGCGGCGCGACAAACCCATCCCGAAAGGAGCCGTCGAGCCAGCGGGGGCATGGTACCAGTACTACTTGGATGATTTCGACTGTCCGGAAAAGGTTCCTCGGAATAAATGGGAAATAATGGCGCAGACCATGTCACCGACTCAGGCCCGTCAGCGTGCGTCGTATGACCGTATCGGGATTGGAATATCCGTGAAGAAAGCCCACATCCGCGAGCCATGCGTAACCCGCATGGGTGCGGAGATTGACGGCCTGGGAGGTTTTCTGTCTGCCCCCCGCGAAAAGATGTTAGAAACCGGTTGGTTGATGATCTGGTCTTTGTCGCGTCCGGCTTTATCCCCTCGTATGATGATGGTGGTGTTGGGTAGATTTACGCGATGCTTTGAGTTTCGTCGTCCCTTGATGGGTTTACTCAACCGCTGTTGGCCAAAGTCAATGTGGTGTCGTGCCTCCAGGCCTTCGGCTTTACAAGCCCATGAGCTCATCACGGCAGGGTCGCTCCTAGGCTTGGCAGTCATGGACATGCGCACGCCAGTGTCAGGGCTGGTGACTTGTTCTGATGCTTCTACCAAAGGAGGGGGAATGTGTGCCTCGGCAGGTCTCTCGTCTCGAGGGCAAAAATTCCTTGAGCAGCTGGACGCCATACCTTTCGATACCGAGTGTTTTAAGCCGCAAGGGAGTCTGCAGCAGAATCCGTGCGGGGGCCCCCGCGTTCTGGTGGTGTCGATGTTTGATGGGCCTAGTGCTGCGATGTGCGGGTTGACGCGGCTTCCTTGCGCTGTGCAGGGATACGCGATGTCCGCGACGGATGTAGATGAACTCCGGTTGTCTCGCACGAGGTTTCCAGGGGTTATCCAACTGGGGAAGCCCCAGGAGGTCACTGCTACTGTGATTGAGAAACTCGTGGCTTCGATTGGTTATCGGTTGGATCTGGTGCTTTTTACAGCTGTTAGTCCGTGCCACTGTTTGGGGGGAGTTGGCGATGGAACTGCCACGTCATCTACTCAGCAGCAACTCCTCTTCTGGGAAATTCCCCGCGTGTACGAGCTACTTAAGCAGTCATTCGCAGTCCCAGTTCATTTGCTCCTGGAAAATCTCGCAGATATTCCGGACAGCGCGATTGCAGCTTTCAACGAGGCATTAAGACTCAAGCCGTACTTGGTGGACGCCAAGAGCTTCACCTGGGTGCGGCGGCCCAGGCTTTTCTGGGTCACTTGGGGAATCACTCCACTGCCCGGAGAAGTGTTGCGTGATGCAGGGCTGTACTACGAGTGGCAGTTTCCGATTCAGAGGCCCGCTAAGGATTTTTGGGTTGATCCAGGGTGCTCCTGGGATGCCGAGGAGGACACTTTGCTGCCCGTTTTTACTCGGCCTCGTCCTAAGCGAAGCCCTGCTAAGGTGTCAGCTGGCGTAGAACAGCCCTCTCCAGAAGCAGTTGAAAGATGGGGTGAGGATCGTTTCAGGTTCACTGCCGATTGCTATGAGACTGCTCATTTGGTTACATCGGCTGATGGTTCACTTCGGTTGCCGTCTTTGTCGGAGCGTGAGCGATTGCTGGGGTTTGATGACAACTACTTCTCGCAGGGCCTCCATCCTAAATTCAAGGGTCAGGAGCTCCAGCAGCTAGGAGAACATATTACTGGGGGAACCCTCTGTGTGTATTCGGTGATGGTGCTTTTTGACGAGCTTATGTCAGCACACGGAGCCCCGCGTACCAGACAGGAGCCATTCTTCCTAGCAAGGGGTGTTGCCCCTCCGTGCTGGACCACACGACCTGTTTTTGCCAAACGATTCCAGGACTCTTCGGAGGTGGCACGGCTTGTAACTCATTTCTTGAGGGTTGCTGAGAGAGGAGGCACTGATGTGCGTATTGACGCAGGGATTCCGTTCAGAGCTAAAGCTTGGCCAAGAACCGGAATCCAAAGCCAGCTGTTTAAATGGGCAATTGTTCATGGATACCCGTGGCGCCATGTAGCTCATATCAATGTGCTCGAGCTCCAGGCCGTCGTAAACTCCCTTCGGTGGCGTATGCGTCGCTCAGGTAACCTTGATCATCGAGTGATGTTGCTTCTGGATTCTCAAGTGGTTTGTGGCATCATATCCAAAGGAAGGACTAGCAGTCGTCGTCTGCAGCATGCACTTCGAGTCCTTAATGCCCTGTGTTTGGCGGGGAATCTTGTGTTGACGGTCGCTTATGTAGATACCGGGAATAACCCGTCAGACATCCCGAGCAGATGGTTCGACAGCGAGGGCCTCGAGAACGTCCCAAGTTGACGCTCCATGAGCAAATGGTCAGTGCAGGCATGCGCGCCCGCTACTCCCGAGCCGTCCTTGCGTTCCTCACCTATGTAGCGGATGTTGGTCTGCAAGCAGAGAGAATCAGTCAGCTGTGCGAGGCGGCGGCGTCCTGGGTGGAGTTCCTCTACGCAGACGGCGAACGTAAAGGGCTTGCCAGTGATGGGCTGGCGGGCCTTCAATACTTCCTACCGCAATGCCAGAGCAGGCTTAAACTGGCATGGAAGTATGTCAAGGTTTGGCAACGTCTTGAGCCTCCTGAGCGGGTGCTTCCACTCAGTCCTTTGCTAGTGTTGGGAATGGCCGGGCTCGCAGCCGCGCTACATCAGCCTGAAATCGTGGCAGGCCTCTTGGTCTGTTTTGATGGTATTCTGCGCAGTGGAGAACTGTACCAACTGCGTGTGGGAGATGTGACTTTTTACGCAACTAGAGCAGCGCTGCGGCTTGGGTTGACCAAAGGCGGCAAGCGTACAGGCCAAGAGGAAATGATTGTCATCAATAGTCGAATCGCGGTTCGTTGGTTGCGGCGCGCTTGCGCAAACAAGCGGGATGATCAACTCGTGCTCCATTGCGGAGCCGATTTCTTCCGCAGATGTTTTAAGCTGCTGGTGTCAGAGTTTGGCCTCTCCGACTCCAACCTGAATGTGTATTCGCTGCGGCGTGGAGGCGCTTCTTGGGATTTCTTGGCGTACCAGTCCATGGAACGAACATTGCTACGCGGAAGATGGGCGTCGACTTCATCGGCGCGAGTGTATGTACAGGATGCGGTGGCCACCGTGGCGCACTTAAAATTGCGGCCGTGGCAAACAGCACTGGCGCATCGTGCAGCAGCTTTTCTGTGAACGGCGGAGCCAGACTGGAAACGTGAAGGGGGGCTGAGAAAATGATCTCTGGAGCCTGTGGTTGCAGGTAGTATGAGTTTTCTTTCTCTCAGCTCAACCTCTCATGTTTAATGCCGTTTACGCCTCTGGCCTGAAGAGCGCTTCTTCAGTGAAGGAGGTCTTCTCATCTGCATTAATTTGAGGAATCCTTCAGGGTGTTTCACGAAGAGATGGGACATCTCTCCAAGCATCTTCTGGCGTGATGCAAGAAAAGTCTCGGCCGATCACATGGTAGCATGTGACTGCCTGCACATTCTTGTCGCGGCAAACTTGAGTTTGTGATCGTATGAGCTTTAAATCAGGCCGCTCCGTGTAAAGTTTCTGCTCTCCCGCCCACTCCACCCGGTGGATTCAGTTCCGACCGGAGGGGGTCGGCTAGGAAGGAGGGCTGAGAAAAATGATCTCTGGAGCCTGTGGTTGCAGGTAGTATGAGTTTTCTTTCTCTCAGCTCAACCTCTCATGTTTAATGCCGTTTACGCCTCTGGCCTGAAGAGCGCTTCTTCAGTGAAGGAGGTCTTCTCATCTGCATTAATTTGAGGAATCCTTCAGGGTGTTTCACGAAGAGATGGGACATCTCTCCAAGCATCTTCTGGCGTGATGCAAGAAAAGTCTCGGCCGATCACATGTGTATGTGTGTGTGTGTGTGTGTGTGTGTGTGTGTGTGTGTGTGGTGTGTGTGTGTGTGTGTGTGTGTGTGTGTGTGTGTGTGTGTGTGTGTGTGTGTGTGTGTGTGTGTGTGTGTGTGTGTGTGTGTGTGTGTGTGTGTGTGTGTGTGTGTGTGTGTGTGTGTGTGTGTGTGTGTGTGTGTGTGGGTTTGTGTGTGTGTGTGTGTGTGTGTGTGTGTGTGTGTGTGTGTGTGTGTGTGTGTGTGTGTGTGTGTGTGTGTGTGTGTGTGTGTGTGTGTGTGTGTGTGTGTGTGTGTGTGTGTGTGTCCATCCCTGTTTCGAAGGGTAGGTAAATCTGACGTGATTGAGCAGGGGGCGCAAGAAGCATTCTGGAGTCTTGCGCCAATGAAGACGCTCCAGTTTGCTTGTGATATCACGGGAAGACGTTCCTGTGACGTACCTGCACAACGGCCGCCCGAAATACCCCAAAGACGCTGTTGTTTCACAGTTGGCCGAAATGACAAGATCTAATAACTTCAAGCAGCTGACTCTTCTGACTTTGAGAGTGTGATTCGAGACCTGCGACACGATGTGTCAAGGGTGCTTCACAACGGCATTCCCTATGGGCGCCGTGTCTCCCAGAGGTAGCTCTGGCGTTGACTTTCCCGATTGACTGTATAAGCATTGGATGACTTTCCCTGATTCTATATCCGTGCTTGCAAGCTGACTTTCTCAGTGAGTCTTCACCAAATGCCTGTACCGAAACCTGAATGCTGACTTTCCCACTGACTGTCTATGATCAGATCGACTTCCCCGAATCTGACTTTCTCGCTGACTTGTCGCAGGTCTTTGGCCACAAGTTGAGTACATGAGCTGTACCTTTGAGTAGTTGCTGATCAGTTTGCCATGGATGCTTCAGGAAAGAGACGCAGTACCCGCACATCAACCCCCCCCCTCCTCCCCCACCTCTCCCTCCACCCTCCTCTTCCCCCCTTCCCCCTTTGCCTCCCCCTCCCCTCCCCGCTTCTGCCCCTCCCCCCTCCCGTGGTACCACAGCGAAGTGGATTCCACCCCCCCTCCCCTTCCCCCTCCCGCCTTCCCTCCCCCACCCCCCACTCTTGCAGTTTGCCCGGCGCCTGCTTCATCTTCTTCTTTGCCGGCCCCTTCTGCATCCAATGTTGGTGTGGGAACTGCAGATGTAACTCCTACCTTGATTGCTGCACGTGCTGTAAATGATCGGCATGTTCCACAGCAAGAGGTTCCCCCTGCAATCACTCTTCATGCAGATGGCGCAGGTTTCCGGTTGTCGTTTCGTTCGGTGGCTGATTTTGCTGAATACTCAGCGATCATGTCGGCAAACTTGACACATGTCCGAGGCCACAGAGATGTGTATGCTGGCCTTAACAATTTGCTTGACATTCAGCAGTCTGTTGTTTCTCAACAGAATCAGTCGTAAACTCTGCAGTTTCGTGACATGAGTGCGGTTTGCATATGTTGGAACGCGTAGACTCTGCAGTTTCGTGACAGGAGTGCGGCTCGCCTATGTTGGAATGCGTAGACTTCAGTTTCGTGTCATCGGTGCAGTTCGCCTATGTTGGAACGCGTAGACTCTGCAGTTTCGTGACACATGAGTGCGGTTCGCCGATGTTGGAATGCGTAGACTCTGCAGTTTCGTGACATGAGTGCAGTTCTCTGATGTTGGAATGCGTAGATTCTGCAGTTTCGTGACATGAGTGCGGTTCGCCGATGTTGGAATGCGTAGACTCTGCAGATTTGCGACATGAGTGTGGTTTGCTTATGTTGGAATGCGTAGACTCTCTGACATGAGTGTGGTTCGCCTATGGTGGAGCGCATAGACTCTGCAGTTTCGTAGACTATCTGCTAAGAGACGAGATCATCTGTGAGGTGATCTTGCAAGCGCTTTCAGTCATCTGTCTTGCAATGGGCCTGGAGACCTGTAACCTAGAGTGACAGCTTGCGCGCTTTCAGTCATCTGTCTTGCAATGAGCCTGGAGACCCGTAACCTAGAGTGACGGTTTGTATGCTTTCAGTCATCTGTCTTGCAAGTGTGTTGCAAGGGACGTGCAAGTGTACTGCAAGTGAAGTGTCGTTGCTTGTACAAAACTTTCGTCATCTTCGGTTTACAGAACCTGTTACGACTGCTCAAACCCTCGAACCAGTCGATTTCGTTGTTACGGTATAAAAAGAGCCCACCTCTGTGTCAATTCAAGAGCGAGTGTGGAAGCAAGTTGATGGTACGTCCATAGGTAACCAAATCAGCCCTGTCCTCTCTTCCCTTCCAGTGATGATGACTGAGCTTGGTTGGGCTGTCGTAGACCTAGTACAGGAGCAAACAAGAAATGTGCAGTGACGAGCGGTTTGCAAGCGGATTGTCGAATCTCTCAGGTCTTTGGCAAGTGATATGCAAGGGTGTGCGAGGTGTGTGCAAGTGCAGTGCAAGCAAGCAAGCAAAGTTGACATCAGTGCCGCGAGCGGATTGCAAGTGATGTGCAAGCGGATTGCAAGTGATATGCAAGGGTGTGCGAGGTGTGTGCAAGTGCAGTGCAAGAAATGTGCAGTTTCGTGACATGAGTGCGGTTTGCATATGTTGGAACGCGTAGACTCTGCAGTTTCGTGACAGGAGTGCGGCTCGCCTATGTTGGAATGCGTAGACTTCAGTTTCGTGTCATCGGTGCAGTTCGCCTATGTTGGAACGCGTAGACTCTGCAGTTTCGTGACACATGAGTGCGGTTCGCCGATGTTGGAATGCGTAGACTCTGCAGTTTCGTGACATGAGTGCAGTTCTCCGATGTTGGAATGCGTAGATTCTGCAGTTTCGTGACATGAGTGCGGTTCGCCGATGTTGGAATGCGTAGACTCTGCAGATTTTCGACATGAGTGTGGTTTGCTTATGTTGGAATGCGTAGACTCTCTGACATGAGTGTGGTTCGCCTATGGTGGAGCGCATAGACTCTGCAGTTTCGTAGACTATCTGCTAAGAGACGAGATCATCTGTGCAAGCAAGCAAAGTTGACATCAGTGCCGTGCAAACAAGCGTCTGTGTGCCAGTGTCACTGCAAGGGTGTTGCAAGGGATGTGCAAGGGACGTGCAAGTGACGTGCAAGGGATGTGCAAGGGATGTGCAAGTGACGTGCAAGTGATGTGCAAGGTCCTGCCTCATGCCCTCAAGGTTCCCTGTAGTGCGAGATAGATTCAGACCATACAAGTAGTTTTTCATCATGTCGGTGTCCAGTTTCGAGAGCGATGCCTCTGTATCGGACGTGCATTCTTCCGACTTTTCGTTAGACCTTGCAGATGCAAACAAGCGTCTGTGTGCCAGTGTCACTGCAAGGGTGTTGCAAGGGATGTGCAAGGGACGTGCAAGTGACGTGCAAGGGATGTGCAAGGGATGTGCAAGTGACGTGCAAGTGATGTGCAAGGTCCTGCCTCATGCGCCATGTGTGAGAGATTTGCGTTTTGCCGAATTTCAAGAGCACATTGTGTCTGTCTCCAAGCTTGTGCAGATCAACTATGGAGGCAAGGAGAAAGCCAAACTGCAAGAACTTGCGCATACTCGTTTTGTAATGGCAGACGAGGTCATTGATTGCAGTCTCCTGTGCATGGACTTTCTGTAGAGTGATGGTGGATGCCCAATTGCTTTGCATCCTCGGTTTTGAACAATAAGAAAGCCCAGCACGATGCTGTATATTGGCTCTACAAGCGTCTCAGACTCTGCAGTTTCGTGACATGAGTGCGGCTCGCCAATGTTGGAATGCGTAGACTTCAGTTTTGTGTCATCAATGCGGTTCGCCTATGTTGGAATGCGTAGACTCTGCAGTTTCGTGACATATGAGTGCGGTTTGCCGATGTTGGAATGCGTAGACTCTGCAGTTTCGTGACATGAGTGCGGTTCGCCGATGTTGGAACGCATAGTCTCTGCAGACTGGTGACATGAGTGTGGTTTGCCTATGTTGGAATGCGTAGGGCGTAGACTCTCTGACATGAGTGTGGTTCGCCTATGTTGGAATGCGTAGATTCTGCAGTTTCGTGACATGAGTGCGGTTCGCCGATGTTGGAATGCGTAGAGTCTGCAGTTTCGTGACGTGAGTGCGGTTCGCCGATGTTGGAATGCGTAGACTCTGCAGATTTGTGACATGAGTGCGGTTTGCTTATGTTGGAACGCGTAGACTCTCTGACATGAGTGTGGTTCGCCTATGTTGGAACGCATAGACTCTGCAGTTTCGTAGACTTTCTGCAGTTGCAAAGAAGAGTCTGTTTGCCAGTGCTGCTGCAAGTGTATTGCAAGGGATGTGCAAGGAACGCGCATGTACTTCGATGCTGATGCGGGTGAATTGCACTTAGTGCATAGACTGCGCTTCCTGAGGTTTCGTAGCCCACTCTCCTAGGTTTCTTGAGCGCGTGTGCAGTGCTGTGCATCGTCAGGTTTCTGCATGAGCCGTCTTGAGTTGCAGCATAAGACTTTCCCATGAAATTCAGTGAAAAAGCAGCGCGCAAACACTGTTTACATTGCAAGGTGAGTGCCACTGTCCTGCAAGTGCTGTGCAAGCAATTGAACAGATGCAATGAGCCCGGTCGGGCTTGTGTGTGTCCATCCCTGTTTCGAAGGGTAGGTAAATCTGACGTGATTGAGCAGGGGGCGCAAGAAGCATTCTGGAGTCTTGCGCCAATGAAGACGCTCCAGTTTGCTTGTGATATCACGGGAAGACGTTCCTGTGACGTACCTGCACAACGGCCGCCCGAAATACCCCAAAGACGCTGTTGTTTCACAGTTGGCCGAAATGACAAGATCTAATAACTTCAAGCAGCTGACTCTTCTGACTTTGAGAGTGTGATTCGAGACCTGCGACACGATGTGTCAAGTGTATGTATGTGTGCATGTGTGTATGTAGGTATGTGGGTATGTGGGCATATAGATATATATGTGTGTATACATAGGTACATACATACCTACATACATACATACATATTGTGTGGGCGTGTTTGTGTGTGTGTGCGTGGTTTGTATGCCCGCATGTGGACGCACATGTGTGTGCGCGGGAATGAATGCAAAATTGTGTGCACAGATAGATCAAAAGAGAAACAGATGACAGATAGATGCAGAGATAGAGGTAGAGATAGAGGTAGATACACACATATAGATATACATGCAGATACAGATAGAGACCCAAATACAGATCTAGATATAAGCATAGATATAGATGGAGACAGATATACATGGGTATCGATTTGCGATAGAGAGATGTATAGGCTGTATAGGCAGAAAGTTGCAGGCATGAAACAGACAGACAGGTAGATGGATCCGTACTGCATGTGTGTGTGTGTGTGTGCGTGTGTGTGTGTGTGTGTGTGGAGTGGGTTAGCGTGTGCAAGAGCTTCGTTTGGTTTTCAAGCTCAGCCAGCTCTGTTGACATTGTTTGTCAGAGGTGCCTTGTTCGAGCACAGAGGCAGAGACACTTTAAGGCTTAGTTTCAGGTCTCTGGTCGTTCGGGAGGAGTTTACTGCACTGTCGTAGCTAGAACTGCACGCCTGTGCATACGCTCATGACAATTGCTTCCGCACCCGTTAAAGCTGACGCTGCTGGACCGGCGCAGCTGGAGGGAGTCTATTGAAGAGAACTGTCTTCCAGAGGATACAATTCCGCCCTGAAGATTGCCTTCAGTCTAGGTTAAAGTAATAGAACCGAACTGCATCGGACAAGCCTTTTTTGCACCTCCTCGGACTCTTGAAATTTGCGATGTAGCGCAGCTCCAATCGCAACCTTAACTCTCGCAGATCTCCTTCAAGAAGCGTGCCCCTCGAGCCGTACGAGTGGTTCGCCAGTTTGCCAACAAGGTGATGATGACCAAGGATGTCCCCCGGCTGCCTTAGCTTAAAGAATCCCGAACCCTTCAAGATGGTCCGGAAGTGCAGTGCTTCATCATGTCCTTCCAACCTGGAGGCGCGGCTCTCTGGCAGATCTGACAGTGCCTGCATCACCATCGTCAATTGACAGGAACAGAGTTGCACAAGCGGTTGCATAATGAAATTGGTGTAGGTAGCCTCAAGTTACCCAGAACCCGGACAGCTGGCAAGTCAACACCTGAACTGTACCAACTGTTTGCGCCCAAGGTTCGCATCGACACCAAGCTCAACAAATTCCTGTATCCTGGCGGCGCAACAGGATTCTTACGAGCCGGGCTTAGCCTTCGGAGTAACAACCATACTCAGACTTGTAAGAAGAGCAGGGCCCTGGTTGCTTGTGCATGCACCATCTGCTTCAGCATCTGCTCTTGCATCATTGCATCCCGCGTCTTGGTGCAAAGATACACAAGCCCATATACACAAGCATAGGTACGAACGGACGGATGGATGTGCATGTGTGTACGGATGTAAATGTGTAAGTTACCGCCGGATCAGTGATGGCATCACCTGATCCTGGACGATGGTGGCGTAGTAGTACCGCACGACTAACCCCCATCATCAAGAAACGAAATTGCAACTTCAAGCATACTGTTGTTATTCCGCTGCACGCAATATGTATGCAGCACACGCCAGAATTGTCATTGTCCCCCCTTACAGAGTTGGATAGCCAGTGCAAATCCTAGACAGGAGCGGGTCTTGAACCTCGCATGATGCTACCTTTAGCTAGAGTCGTGACCAGTTGTAAGTTCTCCATGCCCCCCTCCAAAAAAAATGAATGTTTCTTACATGGTTCATATCGGGTTCTCTGGCCATCTTCTGAACGCAGCCACCATGACGAAATCCATTGGGATGCTGTCTACAACAGCAGCACAACAGGCTATACATCGCTTTTTCTCCACCAGCTGCCCCATGAGCTGTGGAGATGCGGACATTGGAGCGATTTAATCTGCATCCTCCAATCGTCTTCAACACTTGCAAAGCCGATCCACTGTGCTCTGCAACTAATAAGCCGTGGTGGCAGCGTCACAAGTAACCGCTTCCGTGACAGGAAAGCTTTGATCAGGAAGCGGTAGCGTCTGTTCCACAAGCCGGCATTCGCATTGTTGTTTCGGCGAAAGTGCCGACCAGTTGTTCGCAACAATGTAGCCGACTGATGAGATATGACACACAAGATTTTGGCTTTAGTCAAGGAGGGGAACGTCTTGACCAGAACTGACAACATCTGACTCAGAAGTGTAAGGCCCAGTATCTGGAAACGGGCATGGGGCGTTCGGGCATCTGAGTATCTTCGCGATTCAACCGCCGGCTGAACAATTTGAATTTCAATTTCAATCGAGGTTCGGACTGAAGATGGATCAGTGGAAGAGCAATCACTTTGATTGAGGGTGCTTGTGCGGCAATCGCGCGCAAATTGCATCGACAAAACACGCATGCAGGTGTGCTTCAAAATTTCGTCATCGACTCCTCTGTTTCTTTGTCAGCGACACTCTCTTTCAGAAAGAAGTGAAGGGGTTCTGTTATACTTTGAAAAGGTCCACAAGTGAGCTCCGGAGAACTCGGGCAAATCGCAGAGACTCGACACCTGCTTGTTCTGGGCGGAAATGAATTTTCAGAACCATGAATGCTTCCCCTTCATACAAACACCGGGAGCAGATGTTGATCACATCGGTTGACCTACGTGCCAGGCAGTTGAGATTAAAAGGAGGCGAGTCTAGATGTTTTGAAGTCAACCATGAAGTGGTTGGAAAAGGTGCAGGAGAAGTGTAGGCAAGGCGGGTCTCGCGGAGGAGAAAACAGAAGATATTTCTGCGAGAGAGATCTAGCGTCTCAGAATTTCGTCGACAAGCAAACAGCTAACGGGCTCAGCATGGTTTGTGGCCGCATTGAACACTTATCATGATGGAGGTGAGTAATCTCATGCTGGTGGCGAGGGCTGAAAACCCAGCTCCAGGCTCCGCTTTTGGGGTTTAAGTACCGACTTCAATCGAACGCCCAAGCCCCAAAACCTAATCCCTCGTTCTGCCGAGAGCAAATGCGAGCCACGACTTAAACTCTGACCCAGCACCCGAAGCCCAAATCATCGGCCAATGAATCCCTTCAGTCGAGGCGCCTCCAGCCTCGAAGATCTCGCGACGAAGCCCGAAGACCCCAAGTCCGGAAAGCTTTCCAACAGTCAAAAAGCTAACCCCACCTAAGCCAATGCCCTCGACTTCCGCAACCTTCCTTTTCAGGTGGAGCAACGGCGTCCGCAACGTCCCTCGCCGCGTCCGCGTGCGGCTCTCGCGAAAACGCAGCGAGGATCCTTGGCGAGGGAAGCTCTCAGTCTGACAGCTCGCTGCAGCTCTTCGCTTTGCTTCAATCGTGACTGCAAGCAACCGTGTCACAATCATGATTTCAGGATGTGGTTAGTGTCACCGTGGATGTATTCTCCATTGGTACGCTTTTTCATGGGTGCCGGGTCGTTCAGCGTGGCCTGCACGAAAATGGATCAGTTCGTGGATGTGCAGGGTTTAGGGTCAAACTTTCGGGCTAACAACAACGAAAGCTGTACATCCGCTCTAGCAGCTTTCAGGTTTCCCAGTAGAGAGGACGTCGGCTTGGGCGGGTAGGTTGAAACTGTCGGTCGCCCCACGCAGGACGAGGATGCGAAGGAGAAGATCCCTCGCTGCAGCAGAGTTATGAGAGCATCACGAGAAGATCCTGGAAGCTGACGATCTCGCTTCGACAGGGAGTTCGCACATCGTGAGCCCGAAAGCTTCCAAGACAGAAACGAAGCACAAGGTCTTTTCGCTTCGAAGCAGCCAAAGCGAGGTACAATCGTGCTCCTGGTACGGGCCTTCTCACATACTCACAGTCTTGTGAGGTTCAGTACGCTCATCACGACCGTGCTATAGTGCGGAATATCTGGCAATCCAATGCGAATGATTCGTGCAATTTGCAGCAGGCTTGAGTGAGATCAAACTCCTTAGTGGATCGTCGTCGTGTCAGCGTATAGGACTGTCGGGCAAGGCCTTCCGACAAAACACATGCTGATCAGAAGACACGGACTCGGAAACTCTGAGGTCTCTAAGTTTCTGTGGCTTTTCGATTCAGGGAACCTGTGCTTCATGTAGAGCGGAGCAGTCAGGGCGAGTGCTATAGGTTGAGTTTCTCAGCGAGTCTTTTGGCACACCCCCTCAGACATGTCATGCATGCAGCCTTCTGTGCTCTGACAAAACTCCAAGGATGTTCACCCTGGTCCAACACGTTCCCGTGGAAAGCTTCAAGGGACTGCAGACAGAGAACGTCAGGCCGGTCACAAGATCATCGCAATTGCAGGTCCCAGTCCATGGACGCACTGTTCGGATAGAGTCGGACAGAGATGATGTTAACTAATGTTAAGTTGATGGAGATGATGATGACGATGATGATGATGATGACAATTGCGTGTACAGCGCTGGTAATAATTGGAAATGCTGCCGTGTAGTCATTATCTTTCCTCAGGACCTCCTGTCTCAACCATATATTACCGTCCATCATGAGTGCCAGTTTATTGTGTTGTTCCGGTTGCAGACATTCTGGTGTTGAAGTTTCGCATTTAACAGCGTTTTTCCCATCAGATATGTGGCCGCCTAGCGTTGTCGAGGTTCGTAGCTTTTCCGGAGGCCCCTTGTTCGCAAAAAAGTGACAAGTTTCTATTCTGCCAAGCAGCAACATGGCAACCCCAGCTACCTGGAGATATTGCAAGGTCTGCTTTCATGTGCTTATGTAGGGCACGGGAAAAGCAAGTGCACACCAACGCAGCCCAGATGCAGAAGATTCTGGCTGCATGTCTACAAAGTGCACGGGCACTCACGCTTGTCCGTTTAAGGGTGGAGGGAGGTACGATAGACAGACCAGAACACTGCGTGCTGACCTCTCTGAAGTTGTACTGTACTCGCCGACCAAGTAGAGTTGAAGACCAACAGCCACAGACCCTGATTTCGATACATGTGTAACTTCGACCCCGGCCAGGGATGAGTGAACCCGCCAGCTCACGGCCGCTGCTCTTGCGAAAGCAGAGAGAGTAAAAGTTGTTCAACTGCACAGCGGCGCTTGAGATTCGGTTTTGATGGTTCAGGGGCTGTGACGTGTTGCTTTGCAGCAAGGCTTGAGGTGGGTACGAACAGTTTTGCCACATTGTCGCTTTGCGACAGTAAGGAGGGACAGCTTTCAGTTTGCTTTCTCGGCCTTAATTTCTGCAGACGTTGAGGCTGACTGCCCCCACTTTAAGCATTGTCGTGAAGGTTCCTAAACCTTACATACATGTATCATGCTTCCATCGTACAGGCACAGGTGAACACCTAACATGCTGAAGATCCCCGAAATTTGTGTCCCAGTCCCCACGGCCCTTCAGAACACAGTGCATGTGAGTTCTCTCCTGCCTCGCATACGTTGCGAGAGACCTCTAATCCTCCACGCAGGGCAAAGAGGCGACCATCCCAACAGAGCTACTAAAACCGTGACTTTGGCTGCAGAGTTTCTTTCTGCCGCTGGCTTTTTGGAAGTGTCGCAGATCAAAAATTGCGGTCGGGCTGTGGACCTTCTGGGCTGCATCTTGCTTCGCCGGGGCCCGACAGCATGACACAGTGCGAGGTCGTGTTGATGCATGCAGGGCGCTAGTGCCCCTAGACTCAAGATCAAGCCGTGAGCAGAGTCTCGCAGTCTGGCCAAACGGGCGAGCTTCTATATCCGGGCTCTGCCTCAATCCCAGCAAGAACTTACAAGGATGCAAAACTAAAGGGAAGAGACGGCAAAGAAACAGGAGACATCTAGTTGGGGGAGAATCCCGGTGAGCTTTGGGTCTCGGAAACAGCAACAATGCCTGAACATCATTTGGGTTCTAGGGGCTCACTGCGGAGTAAGGACTACCTGCTTGAAACGCAGATTCTAAGTTTCCATCGAACTTAATCCAGAAGTCTTCATGCGCCGCTGACCAAATCTCACACACATCGGCGACCTTCGCATCTCAGGCGCTTCGACGCCATCGTGGGTAAGGCCTGAACTTGCAGCGGTCATTTTCCCCATAAGTCTTGAGTCCTGAAATTCGAGTCCTGAAGCCCAAACCTCGAAGCATATCCTTCATCCAGAAAGCCCCAAGCAATGATTTCATCGACTCTCGCCAGGTCCAGGGATAGGGCGGGGGGTTGGTTGGGATATGTCGTTGTCGTCGGAGGGTGTATCAAGGTTTGCTTTTGCAAGGTGCAGGACGACATCTGTTGCGAGAACCTTTGCAAGTAGCTTCTCTTTTCAGGAGGTTTGTTAGTGAAGCTAGTTTCCCGAGTAAGGCCTCATACGATCTGTTGCGATTGGAGGCAGAGCTGCTCTTGCTTGAAATAGGTTTCGTGCACAAGGGTATACCGTACAAAGTCAAAGTTGCCACTGCTACGGCTTCAGTCAGTTTGCTTGTGGCTGCAATGAAACTATCACTACCTTGGGCCTACTGCCGCCTTAATGTTTTTGCCGGCTAAGCCGAGGATCCAGCGAACGCAAGATGCTTCGACTGCGGTGTCAACGACCACGAGGTGTTGCACACCAAGATATCATCATCATGAGCACGAGGAGACTGTTCTAATTTCCTTCTGAGTCCTTGCCCACGGCAGTCTCATAAGGAGCAGTTGTTGACGAAGCTTGGGGTGTGACATGCCGAAGCCGCATGCAGAGGTCACAGGGGGACGCAACCTTTTGGATACTTGCTGAAGGTACAGAGCTGTGTCCATGCACGCCCATGCATAGTTTTCTTGTTCAAGTTCCCCCCCCCAGTTTGAGCGTACCACTTCGGTGGAGCTTCATATACACGTCATGCACTTGCAAAGATGTTTCCGAAGCATCCTTGCAGAAGCATTTCCGGAATATCCTCTCATCTGAGTCATTGGACCTACTGTCTCGAGGGCTGAAGTCTGCCAAACTGAGAGGGCGGTGCCAAAAGCCCATGCAGAGCGTGTCGCACGAAGCTGTTTAGGCTTTTGGTTCGTGGATGCCCGTAGCAGCCACAGGGGCAGCAGCAAGGTCCAGTTTGAGCAGACGGGTGAGCATCTTACAGAGCTGTTACGATTAAAAAAATACCATCAGAATCATCAGCACTTGGCTTGGCCGTCTTCCTCCCATGGGCCAAGCGAAAAGCACGGGTTGCTTCCGCGACTGTCCCGGCCCCGGCACGCAAGATCGATGTAAGCTCGGATACTGTCGGGTTCCTAAGGAATAGCACAGTTCCAAGCCGCACGACCTACAGCCAGTCGTACCTGGCGGCCCATCGGCGTAGAGAAGTTGCGAAATGTTCGCGATCCGAGACGTTGTCTGTTGTGTTTCAGGTTGCTGCTTGCAGTTTAGGTTTAGGTCAAGCACTGACTCTGCAACACTTGGTCTGCACCCCTGCCCATTGCACTTTACATTTCGACATTTCGTGATTCGATACACGAATAATTTGGAAGGACCATGTCGTTTCGGGTATGGGCTTCAGGGAAAAGAGACACGAAAACATATTTTTATGGTGACCAGGGGCCGTATACATGAACACAAGTGTTCAGCTTCAAGTTTAGGCAAGTGCCAGAGTGATCGTGATCTTTCCAAGAACGGATAAGTTTAGAATCTTGAATACAGGGGCAACCACCCCAGTTCAACGAGACCCTGCTGCTCTGCATAGCAATGCTGCTTCAAGCCCCATGTTCAAGAAAGCAACGGACCTGCTCGGCCACAAGCTAGGCTTCCCTTCCCAATCTTGGGCCGCCACGAAACGTGGAGCCTTCGCCATTATGCTTCAAAGTGAGGGCAACCCTTTGCGAGGCACTGCAGCCAAAGGCGCTGGGTGCTTGGATGCCGCGGGGTCAGAGGCAGGTTCATGGGGGACATGGCTCATGGCTTCCGGGTTCAGGACTTTGAGGTACGGCGGCTGCTTGCGAGGCATCCTGTCGGAGCACAACACATTTTCGGATAGGTCGTGACACGGGATGCAGCAGGTCAGATGCCTGTAACAACTAGTCGTGGTGTGCCTGAGGCCAGGACCTTAAGTTTCTCCAGCGAACAGGGTGCTACAAGCGGTTTCTTAAGAACGTTAACCGCCTATAGCCCATGCAAACGTAGGAGTCTGCTTTTTTTGAAAACCCGAAGTCAAAGCCTCCGGTGGCCGTAGCCGCCGTAGCCTCGACGAGGAGACGAGCCTCGCGCATCTGAACTCCTTGGCTCTCGAGGAGAGCTTTGCAGTGTTTTGTGATTTGCTTTCCTGCCAGGGTCAGGGAAAAGACGACAGAGCGCTTCTGGAAGCAGGGGTGTGGATTTGGGCAGGTCGAACCGAAGCGCAGTGATAGGACACCAAAAGTCGGAGCAGTAGCAGCGGTCCCTGCTCTGGGGATAGTTGCGAGAGTCTACTTGCACAGGTTTCACGACTGTGGTGTCGACATGACGCCGCCGCTGATTGGATGATGCATTGAGACTGCTTAGGACAATGGCAGCAACCCTTCATTCCAATGTTACGGCCAAAATGATGTACTTGAGTCTACCAGAGCCTGATGCCAGAAACATGTCTGATGCTTCGTCAGGAAGCGGCCAAGCAGGCCTTGGCCGAGGAGGACGAGACGGCACAGTTTGGATCTCGGTTCTTTTTGCTTAAGCCCTCCTCCAGCCAATGCCCGAAATGTGCCCTGGCCCTAAGCCGCTGCTCTGCGCCCGAACCAGCGTATCAGTCCTTGTCAGAACATCGTAGCATGATATTTGGACGCACAGTCTCAGGCATTCCAGCCTGGAGGCTTCGGGGATTTGATGTATATCAGACGGAAACTGCTGATGAATACTTGTAAATAGATCCTGAGTCATGTAGGTCTGCTGACGTACAACCGGAAATGTGCTCTCCCTGCAGCGATCTGCGGCCTGCCGTCGTAACGGCGGCCGCAGAGATAATTAGCTGGTGCCGGAGCACGTGCACGAGCGACATAGAGGCACTGGTTTAGCGATGTTTCTTCTTCAGCTACTGCCTTTCGGCGCGCTTGGTTGGGCCCACCGTGCAAAGCGCAAGACAAAGACTGCGGTAGTGAGTATGTTCGTGCCGCTCACAGTGTGCAGCTTCACATGTTTTTTACATGAATTTCTTGTGACCCGAGTTGCCAGTTCTCACCAGCTCAGTATTGTCGATGCCTTCGGCTTCGTGCTTTCAAGATGTCCTTCTATGCACAGCCAATTCAAGGAACTGCGGACATCGGTCGGAATTGTGGCCTTTGCATGAGAGCTAACACATCCCCATTCCCAACCCTTGCCCCGAAGCATTCCGACACTCTGAACCCAAACGCCTGGATCCTCAGCTCCCAGTCCCGCGGCCAAAGCCTGCACTGGAACTTGCAACCTCAGCGGCTCAGCTCAGTGCCAAACCCGAGTCTGGGAATCCGACATCCTAAACCCCACACGAGAGGCGCCGTTAAAACGCACTGTGCTGCTGCTTGCCGTTGCCGTTGTCGCCGCCGTCGTTGTTGTTGGTGGTGTCGTCAATACGACTGTCATGGTTAGTAGTCTGTCATGTTGCTACATCATTACCCGCATTGTGACCATGGTTGTCCTTAAATGATACCGCTTTGATTACTATTTTGTAATCACTAGTACTGCGGTGTTTTCTTACTATTATAACCATTACTATTTTGTCTTTATCAGTGTGATTGCAGCAACTACTCCTCCTCAGATTCCTAGTAGTAGTAGTAGTAGTAGTAGTAGTAGTAGTAGTAGTAGTAGCAGTAGTAGTAGTAGTAGCAGTAGTAGTAGTAGTAGTAGTAGGAGTAGGAGTAGTAGTAGTAGTAGTAGCAGTAGTAGTAGTAGTAGTAGCAACAGCAGTAGTGGTAGAACTGTAGCAGTACTAATTGTTGTTCTTGTCAGTTGCACAATTATCACTGTTGTCCTGCTGATTATCATGGTTTTACTCAAATTATATCGTTGGACGGACTTGTCGCCCAGGCCATCGTCTTTCGATGCTGCTGCCGCTTTATCCCAGGATGATCAGGTGTCTCC